TTTGCTGAAGTGTTTAACTGCGTGTGGTGCTGAGTTGTCCGGGCTGCGTTTAAGGAGTTTTTGTATAAATAGTTACAGAGAGGTGAGGATCGTGGCTGCGTTGTGAGCCGGGGGGGAAAAACGCGTCCTGGGCTCCTCAGGATCTGTTGGCAGAACGGGGAGGCTGCTGGGGAGGGCAGCACCCGCAGAGACAGAGACTCTGGCAGCAGGCAGCTGCTGCTGAAACCTGTAGCTCTAAAACTACGCCCGGTGCTTGCATACGCGTGCTGGAGTCTCGAGTTGTGCTTTATCTGTGGCTTTTTTCAGCTCGCTGGCCCTTTAAGGCAGAACTGTTGCAGGACGTGTTCCATAAGTGAATCAGGCCATTGGTCAGCATTGTTGTACTTTCTCATTTCCTACTCTTGCTCTGTAATTTCCTGTAAACCTTGACAGAGAATTTCAGACCAGCTCTCTTGAACCTGCCCTGAGGGCATTGGGCTCTTTGCCTTTACTCACTGTTTCTCCTTGAATGTTTGCACGATATGTTTTTTTTTTTCTTCTTGGCTGGCTTGTGGTGAGAATGAACTTTCTTCTGTCTTAATATTTTTTTTCTAGAAAACATGAAGGAAGTAAAGGAGCCCAGGCATCGCAAAGACAACAGACGCCCAGACCTGGAGATTTACAAGCCTGGCCTCTCCCGACTGAGGGGTAAAGTGGTGTCCCCAAAGCCTGAAGCCTCGGAGAAGGAGAGGAGCAGAGCTGAGGAGGAGAGCGTCAGTGACAAGGGCTCTTTGGGAGGAGGGCCTGCAGTCCCGGAGGATTTCAGCAAAGGTGATGGCTCTAAGCTGAATGGTCCTTCACAGGAAAATGAAGAGATAGGGACTAAAAGTGGTCCCCAGAGCCAGGAGAACACGTCTAAGCAGCCTGCTCCAGATGAGTGGTGTCCCAAGACCACGAGGAGAACCAAGAAGCCGGACCAGCAGATCTACCAGCCTGGGAAACGCCTGCACTCAGCTGCTAAAGAACCGTCCCTGCGGTCGGCTGCTGAGGAAGTCACCAGTAAGATGGAGCAGCTGAAAGTCGAGAGGGACGAAGACACTGAAAAAGCCACTGGAAAAGACAACAATAGGAAAACCAAATCGCGCAAGGAGGACAGAGAAGGGAGCCAGACAGGGGAAGGAGTGAAAGCCTCCAGGGGAGAAAAAGGAAGACGAACAGAGCGAAGCGACAGGATGAGAGCAGGCGACGGGGCGATGCAGGGGAAGCTGGGCTCTACCAAGCGCTACTCCCGCTCTGACAAGCGGTGCAGCCGCTACCGCACCTGCAGCACAAGCTCAGCTGGAAGCAACAACAGCGTGGATGGAGCCCCGCTCGTGGACGGGGTGGAGAGGCGGCAGGAGCGTGCCAGAGAAAGAATACGTCCCAGGAAGCAGCTCTCTGTGTCCTCCACCGACTCCTTGGATGATGACAGAATTGACGAGGCTGAAGCGTATGGCTCCAGCAGGAATTCGGACAAGAAAAGGCGTTCGGAGCAGAGTCGAGCTTCTAGGAGTGAGAATGAATGGAGCAGCAACGGCAGGGAAGTCAGAGGATCCTTTCGAGTCACTTTTGACAGCAAGACTATGAGCAGGGATATCAGTCTGGCAGATACAGAGAAAAAAAAGCCCCTGAAGGCGTTTGGGAGTTGCAGTGACTCAGATGCTTCGGAGGCGAGGAGCCAGAGCAGAGAGCCCCACGGGAGGGGCCGTGGGATCCTGTTCCTGCCTGCCAACACAGACCTCTCCGCCAGCACCGTGGGCTCCCCCGAACCCGGTCACCCCGGGCCCAGGCTCTTGCTTGGTGGGGCTGGGAGTAAAGGCCCCCGCAGCAGGGGCCGAGGTGGCACCGCTCGCCGGCTGTGGGACCCCAACAACCCGGACCAAAAACCTGCCCTGAAGAGCCAGACTGCTCAGCTTCACTTCCTGGACACGGACGATGAAGTGAGCCCCACCTCCTGGGGGGAAGCTCGCCAGGCCCAGACGTCCTACTACAAGTTCCAAAACTCTGACAACCCCTACTATTACCCTCGGGCCTCTGGCCAAGGCCCGCAGTATCCTATGGGTCCAAGCAACGGCGTGTACCCAGGAGCCTATTACCCTGGGTACCCCGCTCAGGCTGGGCAGTACATGTGTGGCCCGCTCCCCCCGACCCCTCTCGGTCCTGAAATGGAGCAGCAAATGCGGAACATGCAGCAGCAGGAGCTCAGCAAACTCCTCCGTGAAGCCGGGAACCAGGAGCAGCAGCTCAGCAATCTGCTTTCCAGAGACCGCATCAGCCCGGAGGGACTGGAGAAGATGGCCCAACTGAGGTTTGTGACTGTGCTATGTAACCGAGTCCTTTCCAGGTGCTACCAGAGGTGTTACCCAGGCAGTGGTACTTCCTGGGGATCTGGTAGGCTGGAGACGTTGATGTTGCAGAGACTGGGAGATGGGGCAGTGGCTCCGCAGCTTTTGATGTGCTGGGACCATTTGTCCTGTGCCAGCGATGTGTGGGTATCTGGAGGAAACTGCAGGTGAAGATAGGATTTTCCTGGGTTGGAGCTAAGCTGTGGCTTCTTGTGGTTGCAGAACACCTTGCCCGTGTCGCAGGGACACGGAGCAGGACAAGCACCCTCTGCGGCTCCTGGGTTTTTCTTGCTCTTGCTGTATTTGCTGGTGGACTTCTCCTTTCTTACCTGCCCTTATCAGGGTTATCTGTGCCTGATTTGCATTGTGGGCTTCAGGGGCAGCGACTGTCAGCTT